CCTACCAACCTACTGACGACCTACCTACCTACCAACCTACTGACAACCTACCTACCAACCTACTGACGACCTACCTACCTACCAACCTACTGACAACCTACCTACCAACCTACTGACGACCTACCTACCTACCAACCTACTGACAACCTACCTACCAACCTACTGACGACCTACCTACCTACCTATCTACCAACCTACTGACGACCTACCTACCTACCTACCTACCTACCTACCTACCTACCTACCTACCTACCTAACTACCTACCTACCTACCTACCTACCTAACCAACCTACCCACCAACCTACCTACCTACCTACCCACCTACTGATGATCTACCTACCTACCTACCTACCCACCGACCGACCGACCGACCTACTGACTGACTACCTACCTACCAATAACCTACCAACCCACCAGCCTACCAAGCTACTGACTGACTGACTACCTACCTACTGATGACCACCTACCTACCTACCAACCTACCCACCAACCTACCTACCTACCAACCTACTGACTGACTACCTACCTACCAACAACCTACCAACCCACCAGCCTACCAAGCTACTGACTGACTGACTACCTACCTACCGACCGACCAACTATCTTCCTACCCTCCTATTGACCGACCGACTCTCTACCTACCTACTTACCTTCCTACTGACTGACTGACTGACTACCTACCTACCTTCCTACCGACCGACCAACTGTCTACCTACCTTCCTACTTACTGACTGACTGACTGACTGACTACCTACTGACTGACTGATTGACTACCTACCTACCTACCGACCGACCATCTACCTACCTTCCTACCGACCGACCATCTACCTACCTTCCTACCGACCGACCAACTATCTACCTACCTTCCTACTGACTGACTGACTGACTACCTACTGACTGACTGATTGACTACCTACCTACCTACCTACCGACTGACTGACTGACTACCTACCTACCGATTGACTACCTACCTACCCACCTACCTTCCTACCTACCTACTGACTGACTGACTACCCACCTACCTTCCTACCTACCTACTGACTGACTGACTACCCACCTACCTTCCTACCGACCGACCGACCGACCGACCGACCGACCGACCGACCGACCGACCGACCGACCGACCGACTGACTAACTAACTAACTAACTAACTAACTAACTAACTAACTAACTAACTTCTCAGCTTTTTGATCTTCATTAAATCTGTTAAAGTGGGGTTCTTTGGAAAGGTTTTTACCAGATAATATCTAACCTGTTGTAGATGTTCAAACTTTGGAATGATGTGCTGAAGGTTAGTTTGGGGATAGTTTTTGACAGACGTTAAAATAAGAAGTGGTCTGAGCTCAGAGACTGAGGCTACTCTCAGCTGTGCAGTCCTGATGACTCAGGTCATGTCTTCTCTCTGCAGGTATGGACACACGTGCTGCCCAACGAAGCATGCTCTTTTCTGCTGCTGGGAGCTAGCTCTGCTCCTGCTGGCCTTTTCCCTCCTTCCAGAACCCTTGTCAGAACATCGAGGACTCCACAGTCCCTGTTGGCCGTGTCTGAAGGGGACCATCCTGAAGATGGACGAAAGACGAGCACGCTCCTTTCACATGACGTGCCACGTACAGCGCGACTACGGCAGCAGGATGAGGAGCTCCTTCATACGATGCAGCCCCAACGGATGTGCCGGCACGAGTGTCAGCCTCAGCCTGGACCGCAACATGGACCTCGCAGCCTCTGCCGGGACCACCTCCGGCTGCGTGGCCCTGCGAGTCCCTGCGGCTGACTTTGGCCACTACTCTCCCGTGTCGCAGGAACTGGACCCCTCTCTGGTGAATAATGGATCAGGCTTTCCCTGCTGTCCGCCTGTTGACACCAAGGACCCAGTGCTGCAGATCGTTCCCAACCAGCCCTCCATCACCCCAATCCCACCTCCTCTTCCTCGCTCCAGTTGGCTGCGCAATCATCAGAAGGAGTTCCAGAGTCCTTACGTTCAGACGAGCATGCAGGGGGATGTTTACAACTTTTTAGAAAGACCTGCTGGATTGAAATGCTTCCTCTACCACTTCCTTGTGTGAGTACCTGTCTAATTCTGTGTTTACTCATTCCAGCTGATTTTAGACTGATTTGACAGACATCTTTACATTTAACTGTAGAGTTTGACCTCAGGTGCCAAAGTCTCTGCAGTTCTTTTCTGTTAATAACCTCTTCTTCTTTAGTCCTTCTTCCAGTATTAGTTCTTTTGTCAGTACTTTAGGAGAAGTGGCTTTGACCTGTTGAAACTTTTGATCTACTGCTTGTCTGCAAACATAATCCTTTCGCTCGTGTTTGATCTTTCTGCTGTCATCAAACCTGCACAGAACTTGTCTCATTTCACGTAAATCCATTGTGACACAGTAGCCTCTTTCACAAGACAGGTCAGTGAAACTGTGTAACACACTCGCACTCCCGACTCGTCAACATATTGACGCTTTTCCAAAGTTCCCTCTGCGTCTTATTTTAACACGTCGGGTAACCCCCTCACGTCAGTCCTTGTCGCCCGCGACTTTTCCGGGTTGCGCCACCAGGGGTCTTTGAGTCGGGGGTCTGAGGTTAGCATGAGGGATCAGGATAAATGGTTAAGTTTAGGGACTGGGGTCAGGGATAGGATGTCTACAGCAAATATTAGGTAATTTTAGGCTTTGGAACACGTAGTTGACGTGAATTTGGAATGGTAGTTTTTGTGCATTTTCTACACTTTCAGAAATTATAACAGATTCCACCCCATCTCGTCAAAAAATGACGCAAGGGGGTACCCGACGCATCAAAATCGGACGCAGATAGAACTTTGGAAAAGCGTCAATATGTGACAACTCAGGAGTGAGAATGGGTTGAACTGTGAGACTGGGGTGATGGAGGGATGCGGCCAGACTTATTATAAGCCATCAGACATGAACCCAGCAGCACAGAACCAAAAGAATTGTGGAGCATATCTCAGCTCGACTGAAGTGGACTGCGACTTATTTATTTTGTGACAAACAAAACAAACTGAATCAACTTATTTTAGCGATTCTGTGGTTCAGAGTTTTTCAAACTTAATACAAAGTTGTTGTTCTGTGTCATTTTTAATGATAAATCTGTTGATTAATCCTGCAGTTGCTCGAGCTGACTTCTGTCTCCATCGTAACAAACATACACACAGGTTTGTTTTTATATCCCCATGGGGACAGTGCAATGCCAGTGCATTGACTTTTTCTGGAAAATGGGTTCCATGATGTAGCAAAAACGTGCCCACACTAGTGTTGTAGTACTTGAGAGTGTTCTTGGTTTTAAGACTGGTCTCAAAACCAGTTTTTGATGGTCTTGGTCTTGTCTCGGACTTGACAGCATTTGTACTTGGTCTTGTCTCGGTCCCGGACATTGAGGACACGGAATTTTATTTCAAGACCACAACTATGGAAATATCACTAAACAGCCAGAATGTTGTCCATTTTATGTATTAGTTAACAATCTTGCTTTCATTGGATTTAAAACATACTGATTCAAATCCAAACCTGACTCATTGCTATTTATGTATTTTTGTTGCCAGCTGTTACCCATCCGCACCCCCCATCATTTTTATGCGGCACTACAGGAAAGTGAATCATGGTTTTCTGGGAGCGGTAAAATATGTCTTCAGAATTTTAAGCAAAAAATTGGCTACATCATTCATAAATAATATCATTAACAACAACCTGGAGAAAGCTTACAGCAACTTGTAAATTCGGCAGTGCTTCACTTTTAGAGACGGTGTGGACAACGTCAAACTTTTATTGTCACTAATGTTAACAATCTTCCTCTGTAGTAAAATCCTTTCCTCTGCCCTCAAACAAAGATTTTGTCAGTATTAGCTCTATATATTAAGTTAGCTACAGTGGGGAGAAAAAGTATTTAGTCAGCACCAATAATTCAAATTCTTCCACTTAAAAAGATGAGAGAGGCCTGTGATTGACATCATAGTTAGACCTCATCTATGAGAGACTAAATAC